AAAAAAAAAAGCAGTCAACTGTTCAACAAAATATGGCAAACAATTCTACGGTTTTTAATACAATGTTATACATACATATAAATAGCTAAGAATAAATACTTAGTCGTAAGCCTCTTTATACTTACATACCGCCCCTAGGTAACTATTATTAATACGTATGTATGTATGTATTTTCGCTGTATGTACTATGTAGTAAGTAAGTATGTTGATGGCTACTAGAATATTTTCATAAATTTAATAGTTAATGTTTTTTCTAACTCGTAATTGTTGATTAAGTGTTACAATTAATTATTTTGGTACACAAAGAAATTGTATGTATGCGTATGTAAAAGCCAAAAACAAAAAAAAAAAAACAATAACAAGCAGTTATCTTAAAGGGCAAATAAGAAGAATAACTTATTAACAATTTATAAATCAATTGAATAAGCTAAACAAAAGTATACATTACATATGCAGTGATTTGCATACATGTGTAGGTACATGCTTGTATTTGTTCCAATGCTGCTCAAGTTGTATGCATACATTCATACAAACATACTATGTACGTACTTCTACATACTATTTAAATAGTATAGCGCTAAGCTGTTAAATAGATTTATACTTACTTAACAGTTGTTGACTTAATATGTACGGAAAATCGTTCCACAATACATAATATGTATGTATGTATTTAATTAGCATTTAAATTGATATAAGCCAAAATTTAAATAAATAACTTCAAGCAAAAATAGTGTATATCGCCGCCTGAAATGCAAAAAGACGTATCAGCATTGTAACTGAAATGTAAAAAGTCGTGACTAATAATTTCCTTTTTTTTTCATAAAATGGTGTGGTAGTTGTAATTCGATGAAGTATCAAAAAGTGAATTTTGAATTTTTTATTAGTCACGTCCTTCTCCTTCTCAGCGACGAGCGTTTGTTACGTCTTTTTGCATTTCAGATGACGTTATGTATGTATATAAATATGTATGTATTAACATAAGTGAGTGTGTGTTCGACGACGTAAAATTTTGTTATTTATGTACAGTCTAAATAAATTACGCTTAGCTCAAAATGATATTCATAAAATTTATAAGTATACATATGTATAGTAAATGTAATGCTACAAATTTATGAACAAAATTTAGCAAAAAAAAAAAGTAAGTAGCAGCAATAGGGATTTCTTTAAATATTTGCATACAACTACGCAAATAAATAGAATATGTAGTTAAGAAAAATTGTTAAATAAAAACAACACAAAAAAATAAAATATAGTAAAATAGTTAAATAAATATAAATATTGAGTTAACTAATTAAAAACCAGTATGTATGTACTAGCAAAATTACAAAAAGTATGTAATTTTTCGGGAAATATGGGTAACACTATAATATTAGGTGATTAAAAATTGTGAAAATGTATAAAATAATTGCTCCACACACCTTAAGTTTGACGTACATAAGTATGCATGTACTTATTTAAGTTTATCATTTATATTCGAAAAAAAAGTAAATGCAATACAAAAGGAATTATTGTAATCCATAGCTATACATAATACTAGTTTATGTAGTTAAACTACTTGTAAACGCAAATTTCTTATAATTGAGTATAGGAATGCATTACCAAAAAGGCTTCACAAACTCGCGTACATATATGTATAACTAAGTATTTTTTAGCTGAGATATGTAACCGCAAAAAGAAAAAGAAAGAAATGAAAAATTAAATTTAGCTAAAGTAACAAAATAAAATAAGAAGCTAACCATGATTCGTTGTGGGAGCTGAGAAAATTCAGGAAAATCAAAAAAACATTATACATATGTACATATATATACATTAGGGCGGGGCAATTCGTAAGGGAGATTTTTCGGACTAAGGGCGTATAGCGCAGAAGGCTGCCACATGTAATTCCAAGCAAATTTGCCGAAGAAACCATGGGTCTAAAATCAATTTGTAGTTTGCCAAATTTCGAAAATAGGTTTTCCTACCATTTTGCTGTAGTGTCGTAAAGGAAAGGAGTGCTTAAATTTTGTATAAAAACATGCTATAAGGGGTTATTTGGTATGAGGAATCCATTTATGCAATTATCTTTTCCCGAAAACTTCCACCAGAGGGCGCAACAGTGAAAATTTTCACATTTTCTTCGAAACCAATTTTCGCAATTAGGCAAACTTCAAATCGATATTAGACCCCATGGTTTCTTCGGCAAATTTGCTTAGAATTACACGTACAATCCTCCAATAATATACGCGCGTAGTCAAAAAAAAAAAAGAATTACCTGACTAATATGTACATAAATACAAACATACATATGTAACACTGGCCAACATAATTTTTCGGCAGAGTCAATAACAGCAAACATCTATAGATCATCTGACCTTGGAAATTTCAGATTAGCTCCAGTTTTTGAGATATTTTGACTTGAAAGTGCCAAAAAAAAACGAATTATTAGAATATTTGGAACCGTTGTAATATAAAAACAGTACATGATGGAATATTTT